TTATGTCATAAATTTGTATTTACTATCTGTTTATTTAATAACATGACGGGCAAGTGATTGTTTTATCGGCAATCGAAGTCTTGAGACCATGAGCACAATGTCCATACGTAAATTGATCAGCAACTAATGAAACAAATTAAGTGCACGTTTAACTAAGAAATCTTTAGTCATCTTTCCATTAGCATCATTCACCGTAGGTGGAGAAAATTAACCCTCAAATCTCACGTCATCATCCTTAAATCACTATTAAAAAATAGATTTTCACCAACGGAAAATTACCAATGGATCAGATTCGTTGATAATTAGAAACGGATTATCCGTTGATAAAAGTAATCCACTTTTAACTACGATATTCAGCAGCGGAATATCTATTGGTAACGGTGATATCTCTTTACCAACGAATATTCCGTACCTCATGTAGTCGTTTAACATTTGGATATTTCACTAACGGATATTTCCGTAGGTAACATACCGATAATCACCAACGGACTACATCCGTTGATAATCAGAAACGGATTATCCGTTAGTAAAAGTAATCCACTTTTAACTACAGTAATTAGCAACAAAATTTCCGTTGATAACGACGATATTTCTTTACCAACAGATATTTCGTGTCTCATGTAGTCGTATAACATTTGAAATTTTAAAGCAGTTTCCAACATCAAATATGTGGAATTCCACCTAGTTGATACGTCCAAAAATTCATGTGATTTACAATCAATTTTTTCTCGACTCACACACTCTTTAAACTTTTGTTCTCTATCTTTTGTTCAATAGAAATAATTAGTCTTGTCTAGAACGAGAGGTCTAAAGGGTATCCTGTCTATATCTAGGTTTTTATGAATCACATTTTTAAAAGTGAACTTACACTGATACCAAGTGTAAATTCTAAAATTTAAATAAATTAAAAATTAATCTTAATTTAAATAATATAGCTATGGACAATCGACAGTCAAAACTTTCTACAATCAGTTTCTAATTGTATCTCAACTCAATTAATCAAGTCAAGAATCAGATAAACATATATTACTTGTAGTCTAAATAACTTCTTTGCTACGAAATATCAAACACTTACAAGGATATTGTATCTCAATTCAATAAACCAAGTCTTGAATCACATTAACATACTGCATGTAGTCTAAATGCCTTCTTTGATACAAAACATAAAACACTTATAAGGATATTGTGTTTCAACTCAATTAATTAAGTTGAATCACATAAACATATTTCTAGTAGTCTAAATTGCTTCTTTGCTACAAAACATTAAACAATTATAAGGATTTCAATCAAGATTTTTACCCAAATGCAGGTATGGTCAGAGTAGAGTAAACAAATTTATGGTATGAATCATAAATCCTGCATGCAAATGTTCAAAAGTTCCTTTAGCACAATTTATCGAACATCTATAAGGATGCATTTTTCAAATAAATACATTGTATGTACAAATCATCAAATTTTTTTAGGGAAAACTTCATCTCAACTCAATGAAGCAAGTATTTCATCAAATAAATACATTGTATGTATAAATTTAAACACGAATATGTTAAAAAATTCTCTGAAGGATTTAAAAGAGAGGAAAAATATTTCTTTGTGATGGGCATCATTACAATTTGATAATTGAATAATTTGCACGTCTTAGAATGGCTCAACATGTGCCTTATAGATGTAACACCTGCCTATATTTATGATAGTAACATATACTTGAATCTTTTTTAAGAATTTGAAGTGGCAGAAGCATATGATTCATTCTCCAAAAATATATATTTAACCAAGCTACAAATATTATTATATGGATTAAATAATCCATATAGATATCAATGACGGGTGCAAATATTTTGAGTTAAGAGGCACAATCAAACTTGTAAAAAAGTTGTAAGGAATTTTAAAAAGTCATACCCCATGTAAATTTCAGTGTTCTAAAATTCTTGAAAATGCGGCGCCTAGGCGCACCTAGGTGCGGTGCGCGACAAAAGCGCGTTGTATGCGCGTAAAAATGCGGTCAACAGTTTTTCTTAAACTTGTGATTCTTGAATCTCGACCTCGACGCATTACGCATTTTAGAACACTGGTAAATTTACATCCGAATTTTGCATTTGAAGATTTACATAATGTACGATTTTTTGGATGTAAAATTTCAAAAAAAAAAAAAAAAAATTGGAGTCATGCCCCATTTAAAATTTTCTAATAAAATTATATAAATTATATTGAGAAATTTGTCACTTAAAAATAATAAATATTAATTAAATAATTGAAAATTTTTAAAGAGAAAACAAGTTAAGACACTTATTTTTAAGACGCACGTTTGAACCACCTTTAATTATTTTTTATATTCATTTAAACCATTTGATATGTCTATCATTTAGTTCTCGAAACGAGTTTTAAGATGACGTTGTCGATTTGTGAATTCAGCTAATGTACAATCGTAAGAGAATTTTTAAAATTACCATGTTATCTAAATTCTCGAAATATTAATTGGGAACGACCTACTTTTGTATATCATAATATTTGATACAACTGACCGTTTCACACTCTGTTAAAGACGTGAAAAATTAGACCTTAAGCACTTCGAAATATTATTAAGAATGCAATATTTTGACTTTGTTTGGTATCCTGTAATGACTCCCCAAAAATATAAAAATTTGCCCAAAACTTGGGGGATCATGTGACCCTCCATGCCACCCCTTGTTTCCGCCAATGATGTATATGATATAACCACCTTAGGAAATATTTGTTGAAAGTGGATTGTATAAATGATGATATCTGCTCCATGTCTTTTTATAAAAAAAAAAAAAACAAATATTAGATTTGTAATTGTGTCACTTTATCTTGATAATATAAATCTAATAGAAGTGAATATCTCAAAAAAAAAAAATGAAAATTACTTAAAAAATGAATTTGGGAAAAATGATTTGGGAAAAACTAAATTTTGTCTAAAGTTGCAAATTGAACATTTCTCAGAAGAATTATTTGTTTATCCATCTTTATACAAAAAAGTATTAAATCATTTTTATATGGACAAAACACATCAACTGGTGATCGCGCAACCACACTTGAGTTGAAAAAAGAATTGGTTCGTTCACTTGAAAATAGGGAAAAATATTCTTGATCCTAAAGTATCATACCTAAGTGAAATTGGATCGTTAACTTATTTTGTAAATTGCACTCGACCAGACATAACTTTTTTTGTAAATCTCATTGCAAGAGATAACTCTGCACTCACTCAAAGACATTGGAATGATTTTAAGCACATTTTTCATTATTCGATATGTACTATTGATGTTGGATTATTTTATTCGCAAAAATTGGAATCTTCTTTACACGTGGGGGAATAATTAGATTATGGAGATCTGTAAAGTAAACATTGATGTAACATCTTTGAATCATTCTAAAATTATTGCAATTCAACTTAAGCCTTTCATAAGGTAGAGGTCTTGTGTTTGGATCTTAGGGGATGTTAGAGAAAGCCATGATGGATAAGATGACTTAAGTTTTTTCAAAGTGGATAGTACGTAAGTTAACGATTTTAGCATGGATGATGTTCTACAAATTTGCTTAAGTGATAATGATGTTCACTTATTCACAAAAGCAATGTCCACATTCAAGAAATTAGTATATGAGATAGGAATGCATTGACTTAAAAGATTTTCAGTGATCAACATTAAAGAGAGTAGCTATACTCTTCACCTTGACTCAGGTATTATCCTATTAAATTTTCATGACAGTTTTTACAAGGTAGCATTTGTTTTATTACTCCAAAAATAACTGCACGTTTATAGAGTAGCTATACTCTTCACCTTGACTCAGGTATTATCCTATTAAATTTTCATGATAGTTTTTACGAGGTAGCATTTGTTTTATTACTTCAAAAATAACTGCACGTTTATACTTCATCTGATGTTTTTGTTCCATTGAATTTTTACCAAACAATGTTTTTAATGAGGCAGATATTGTGTAAGTAATCAGTCAAGGGGAAGTATTGTAAATTACATGTTAAATGACTATTGTATCCATATTGTCCTAATTAATATGATTATTATACTTCTGCAATCGTAATTCAGATAAATACTTAACAAAGTGTATTGACTCTTTCTACTCTCTTTTACTTTCTATCTAATACATAACAAATATGCCTATATTTTAGGAATGAGTTGTTTTATTTTATTTACTTAAAGAACGTAAAGGAGTGAAAAATGGGAAGAGTGAAATTATTTCGGCATTTTATTCTTCAGTTACTCAAAACCCCAATTTGGATGTCTATGACCTTATCGTTTTCATTTTTCTTTCAATTTTGTTCTATTTTTAGTTACAGAGAAATGAATTTGTATCAATTTGCATTGTGTATAATGCATTCTTGATATCACCATTTCTTCGTTGAATTTGTGTGTGAAGGGCTTAAAACAACTCTCCTTATCATCAATATATCGTCATTTTGGAAATACGAGTTTTTGTGAATATTGCGAAAGTTTGACGGTATTGCATTTTTAACGCCCAGATTGATATTTAACACTGCATTCATAAACAGCATTACTCTTTTAAGTATCAATGCATTTCTAATTCTAATACGCCAATTGGAGTTGCATATTTCCCCAAACCACAGTGGTCCTTTTTCCCTCTTTATAATTCTAATCTTTTACTGATTTGTCACCATCTGATTGGCTGAGTTTGAGTAATTACACCAGCGGTGGAATCTGCACTGTAGAGACAGCTGTGTATGGTTAGTTGATCCACATTTATATCTCTCTCCAATTAGCATCTTGCAATTTTAATTAAACCCTTCTGCAGAAATTTGCTGTTACAGTGAATGAATGTCCTATCTGATTTTCTTGTGTAAAATCTTGATATGAAAAAATCCCACATTTATTTGGAAGAAATCCTTGAATAAATGTATAAGGGTTCGTGTTTTTTTCTCAGATCCTCGATCCATTTTGTGATTTCAAAATGATTTTGGATTCCTGCACAAACCCACATTCTTGAAGGGTGGTTCGATCTCTTGATACTCAATGCACCTTGCAAATCTGTGCATAATTTTCTTCTTGCAAATGCTCGTCGTCCCGTCTGCAGCAGAGCTATCAGCACGCGAACTCGACTCACTTCTTCAGGATTATGCATTCAGAGCGCTTGTTCGGCCAAGAACAGGCGCAGTGTACGATGGAAATGTGCCGTCCAACTTGACTGGCGTTCGAGTGGCGGCAATGAGGCTGAGAAGTGGCAGTCTGAAGAGGAAAGGTGTTAGCAGATATGAAGAATTTCATATCCCAATTGGCGTGGTTGAGCAGCCTTATGTGCAGAGGCTTGTTTTGGTATATCACAATTTGGCTAACTGGTCCTCTTTGTATTATCCTTTGGCTGGTCACACTTTTCTTGCACCAATTCTAGGCCTATTGGCATACGATGGATCCAATTTATCAGCCACAGGTTTAACAGAACTCAATTTCCGGGCGGCTGAGGAGTCTATCACGATTGAGTTTTCTGGTGTTCAACCAGGGCCAGAGGGATCATCATCAGCCAAATGTGTGCATTTTGACTTAGATGGTTCAGTAGAATTTGACAGAGTCATTTCCACAAACACCTGTTCGACAACTAAACAAGGCCATTATTCCATTGTTGTTGAGGCAATTTCTCCGGCACCGGCACCGGCACCGGCTGGTGGAGGTGGGGGTAACAGTGAAGGAGGTGGAGGATCCACCGTCTCCGGCGGCGGAAAGGGGCGTCGGAAAGTATCGATAATTGTTGGGTCTGTGGTGGGAGGAGCAATTTTATTGGCCTGTTTGGGCATGTTATTTTATGGTGTAAATAGGTGCAGACGCCGGAAAAAGATACAGAAAATGGAAGAGATCTCGGAAATGGGAGTGGCGTTGCCAATGACAAGAATTGGGTATACAAAGGCGCCCGTTGCATTGGATACTCGAACGAGGCCTTCGCTAGAGAATGAATTTGTGCCATAGTCATGGTTAGTCCTGACTAAACATTTATGTCAATTTCTTTTTTTCTTTTTTTTTTTGGGTAATGTCGAGTAGTTTACGGTCCAACTTACTTGACAAGCGATTATTTCAATTCTTCTCCATTTTCAAACTCTCATTGTATTGGAGATTCGAGCTAGATTAGGGAATGAATTTATGTCATAGACCTCGTGAGCGACATTTTTTCTGGTATTCAGTACAATGAATAATAATTTAACTTCTTTTTTTGAGTATGATCGAATGGTAGTATGCAATCCACCTTACTTGACAAGTTATTAATTTAATTCTTTCCAAATTTGGTTAACTTCTTGTGATGGAGACTCGAACTACAGTAGATAACGAATTTATGCCGCAGCCTTTACCTATGTTCCTGTTTAATCTCCATTTAAAAAAAAAATCATTTTTCGACCATATATTTCATGGAATTCACTCATTTTTCACTACATGTTTCATCAACTTTTATTAAAAGTTACTAAAAACCTGATTTTAACTAAACCAAACAAGGCCTAAAGTAAATTTCATTTTTCAGCTACTAACATTCTGGCAATTTTGACAAAATATTGTATCCTATTTTTATTTTTGTACTGTCCCTACCTTGGCCCACGAAGCCATTTATTCAATAATTACTCATTTTGAAAGACGATATTGCTCTTTTTTTCCCGCTGCTACTTTTGATTACAGACACATGGTGTAATTATTTCAAATATCCCAAAGGAATTGAATTGTTGGAGAAATTATGTGCTATTTACTTGCAATTAGGAATGAATTTTAAGGTTCAACCGAGAAAATCGAGCTTCGCACCAGAAGTCAGATCGGTCACATGCTAAAATCAGGTCAAACTTGATCAATTGCCAGTTCAATGGCTGAATCAAAATCGTGTTGAGCAGATTTTGCTATTGCCCTTTTTGCCAAAATAAATAGATAATAAATAAATAAAGGAGAGAGATTGAGAAATAGAAGCTTTGTTTGGGAGTTGAAATCTGCTGTTCGATTTTTGCTGATCAATTTGCTGTCGACACAATTAATTATTCTCAATTCATTTTAAATTAGCATATCATCAATTTAGTGGGTTAGTAATGAAGTTTGATATTTATATTAATGAAAAGTAGCTTATGTTCGGCAAATCACTTTAATTTTTACTCAGACTTTCAGTTGGACTATGATTTGATCTCAATTGAACTTTCGAAACTCGACCCTAAACTTTTTCCTTGATGCACGAGTCGGGTTTAAAAACATTAAAACAAACAAGTTGTCCGTCACAAGAATCTGTAAATGTTGAAATTATGGTAGATGTAATCCAAATGACAGCTATTAGATATACACATTCTAAAAGTTTGCGTTGCTATACAAGAAAGTGACAAATGATCACACGCAAACACAAAAGTCTGGGATGTGAATCACTAGTGCTTCTTAACTTTTTCTATGGCTCTCATTGTTTTCTGTCCACATGCCAACAACTTTCACAATCAGCAAGTGACGACGGTAAATTCACGTTTAAAGTGCAAAACAACAAGTCCTGAACATGTGCTATATGCTACAGTAAAAAATTGACATGCTTAAGAGGTAATGTGACATGGTCAGTCGACTGGACGTGACAAGATATCACCATCGAAGAAATTTAACAAAGACCAAACCTAAGCGAAGAGCTCGACTTATGTTATAACGAGGTCAGCCAGCCATTACTATTAAGCTCTGGTCATTCTAAGAATGTTAAGCTCTAGCCAAACAATGTGACAACCATAACCAGATCAAAGAGCTCAGATCCAATATTTCATAGAAGCTAGCACAGGTTGAAATCCTTGAGCTCACTTACTTGTGCCTTGCTTGGTGCTCACGCATGACAAGTTCGACCTAGCACAAGCATGCCAAACAAGCTAAGCAGGCTGCACCAGCCTGGAATTCAAATTTGAACCCATCAAGATTACATATACACAATTACCATCCAACGTAAGTCTTTGATTTGATAGTAAGATGATGTTAATTGATGGGCCAGGCAGTACAAAATCCATTGCTGATAATTAAATCAGTTGTATGATATATCGAAATAAAAGGTGTGGATTCCATTGATTAATGACTTCACATATTCTTTCTATTACAAACTGTCGTCATCAGTCGTCACATAAGCCAAAAGGAAAAAGTTCTAAAGTTCATTGATGTAATCGTTTGAAGTAGGATTCTATTAAAGAGGGAAGATTGAAGTCATGTTTTGTTTATGATAATAAAATTTTAAGTATTTTATTTAAATCTTCAGCACACCCATCACGTGCAAGCAAGTAGTAGCGTAACAAATAAAATTCTTGTAACTGACCTAAATTCTCGGTCATTTTACGTTCTAATGCTAAGTTCCATCACGTTAAAAAAGGGTAAACAAAAGGTTCAAAGGGAGGGAGCAGGTGCAGAGCCAAAAATATTGTCGAGTGCAGGTGGAATTTAATCAAGGCTAGAATTTGAGTTTTCGACCATGGATTTAATGGCAAGTTTAATAATATAAAGAGAAATCACAGCTAATAAAAAATTAAATCAAAGGAGCCAACCTGTTGTACCACCAAATTCCATCAAAACCACCAAAAGAGTCCTAAAATCAAGAACCCCTGCTCATAACTACCACAACAACTCAATAAAAGATGTCTTCGTTTAAGATCATAACTACCACACCAGAAATGTCAGATATGCATTTGCAACGCCACTAATTCATGTTGTTTGCCGTTTGGGTTAGAATTTCTTGCATATCTTCAATTGATTATACTTTGAAACCTTAAGAATCCCATCAAATGAACACATGATAAATTATGATCCATTATTAATTTGCAGTATATTTCTCTCAAGTGCTTTCTGCCAAGCAGATTAATCCTAAATGTGCAACCAAGTACTATTTTTTACTAATTGGTAGAAAATCAAATCAGCACTTGTACCTTCTTCTGCTGATGGCGCCCTGACCCTGAGCGCTGGTACCGTACAAAAAGCGAGCAGGCAGTCCACAGACTTTGAGAGTGAGAGCCTGAGAGTCGTCGTCCGTTGAGCAAGAGAGGGGACGAAGTGTAAGATTGGATTTCACCATTTACAACCCATATTCGAATTTGAAACCCAAACCCAGTCCAATTGCTTTCCAATTGAAACCCAAATCCTTAAAGACAAAAAAGTAAATTACTTGCCCCATCACCGCCAACAGTGGTGAAGACGTTGAAGTAAAGGGAGTATATGAAATTGAACAGGACGGCTGTCGGTGTAAATTGGACGTTTCATGTTTGGCTTCTTGGCTTGGAATCTCATTGCGAGAGTTGAGAGTGAGAGAGATGAATGGTAGGTTTTGAATTTGGAAATTGGGTTGGATGTTATAAATTTTATCTTGGGTTTCAAACTTTTCTCCTGGGCTGAATCAATTGAAAAGCCAAACTCACAAAAAAAGAGAAAGAAAGAAAGAAAAGAAAAGAAAAGAAGAAGAAGAAGAATTGGACAAGGCCCAAAGTGCATTGCAAGGGGCTCTGCTCCTGAAAGAAGTACCACAAAATAAATATCTCAAACCAGGAAATAAATATTGACCGACGGAGAGATGTATCAGAAACTGGAAACACTTTGAAGACATATTTAATACAGTCAAGCTCCTACACTTCATCCAAAAACAGGATAGAATATTTAAAAAGCAGGTATTTCAAGTATCAGAAATTACAGCATAACTCAAAAACTAAATGTGACAGATGGAGCCGATCACCATATCTCTTTGTTATGCTAGGCAGATTCAGCCTGAGATAAAAATGCTCTTCCTGGTTGACGCTGAGTCAGTGGCCCGTGACATCCTAGAAGCTGCAAAATCAAATAGAAAATTTTATCATATATAGTGAACAGCAGAATATTAGCCCGCACTACCCCCAGGAAGTTAGACAATAGAACAGCATATGTAAAGATAAACTTGGAATGAGCAGAAACAGCCGCAAATATTTTAATTAATCTTTAAGATAACAACTAACCTTAGCATTCACACCATCAGATAGAATACGATTCTCAGATTTCCACTTCAGGTAATCAGTGCGGCTGTATTTAGTGAACCCCCTGAAATGCATAGATGGCAATACTTTAACATATGTTAAGGGTTGGGAGTTGTGTAGACGAAAATATCATGTTTTCCAAACTACAAAATGCTCAATGAATCCAAATATGTTACAGAAATGAAAGTCAACAGGAAAGCAGCACACCATTTCCTGCTGACAATAATCTTTTGACGGCCAGGGAATTTGAACTTTGCACGGCGCAATGCTTCCTGGGCATTGTGGCTGTTGTTATCTTTGCAGCGAACAGAGAGGAGAACTTGACCAATAGCAACACGAGCACAAACACCTTGAGGCTTGCCAAAAGCACCCCTCATGCCAGTTTGGAGCCTATCAGCTCCAGCACATGACAACATTTTGTTAATACGCAAGACATGGAAGGGGTGGACCCTGACCCTCAGGTGGAAAGCATCCTTTCCTGCAAATTTGGTCATGTACTTATTGCACGCAATACGAGCAGCTTCAAGTGCTTCACTGGACACATTTTCCTTTTCCCAACTGACTAAGTGCACGCAGAAAGGGAATTCATCAACTCCCTTCTTCTTCATCCCTACATCATAGATCCTGATCTTGGGATCCGGTACACCACGGCAGAACCGTGATTTTGGGTATGGCTTATTCTTGATTTGGCGATAGCACCTAGCAGGTCCTGTGTACGAGTACTTGACCCATCAAAACAATATATTTCATTTTTCTATTTCCTAAGATAATAAAAATGCAATTTTCATTTCCAGTATACAATCCACTCTAGTAATGTTACACATTTGGAAACACAGAATAGTCCTATAAATCCAAAATGTAATAAAATGAAAATAATTACATCAAGCAGCATTATCTAAGATTAATGAGAAACACATTACTTCCCAAATCCAATGCAATCCATTTTAAGGAAAAAATAGATTTTGTAATAGTGATTTTTTTGAGAATGTGTAGTTAAAAAGTAGTGAAAGTTTTGAATTTACGTGTAAAATTATTTATTGGAAGAATGTGCGGTTAAAAATGAGTTTGAGAAAATGAGTTTTTAGATAATGGGGATCAAATAGGGGCATAATGTTTCATCTGGCAACAATATACTAATGATCACAAGAAACATAAAATAATTAGCAAGAGATATCCAAGTATAACGAGACTAACAAAATCAATAGTTACCAGCCTCATAAATAAAGTTCCCCTCTCGTCATAAACAGAACCCTATGAAAGTAAAAACCCGCACAAGCCAAATCTATACATACGTCTAACTGATAATTAGAGGTTTTATTCTTTCCCGTGAACCAGCATATAACCTACTTAGCACCTAATATCCACATTTTGAAAGAAAATAATCCTATCATCATAATTGAAGAAACTATCGCATTCACCAAATAAAAATTCAGCAACACAATACAAATTGAGTAAGATGATATACCCTAACAACATCACGCGCGTCACCAAAGCCTAATACCCCTACAAATAAACCTAAAAAACTGCTTTCAAATATCAGTAAAACCATGGATCCATCATAACAACCTTTATAAAAAGGTCAGAAACACACAAATTTTCCAAAATCACTTTAATTCAAACCATCAAACAAATAACGCAAAAAATAATTCCAACTGCATCATTTTATCACAAGTCAGAATATAAATACAACAAAAGCATGCATATATCTAGCTTTACATTTACACATTCATACCATCAAACATATAACATAGAAAATAATTCCTATAGAAAAATTTCATCACAAGTCAAAATATATATCTCTATATCCAGCTACAAATTTACATATACGCATATATCCGCGTACAAATCTATATGGCGGGAAAGAACTTACTTCTCCCCATGGCGAATTCTCCGCTTTGTTGGTCTGCGGCTCAAAAGTGGGAAATGACGTACAACTCCAGGAATTCGGAGAAATTTGATTTATATATAGGGTTGGATTGGGGCAAGAATTGGGCCTATGATTCTCAAAAATTTTCCTGGGAAAAGATACTTTGGTCATATGGACCTTAATTTAGCACTCCTATAACTAACAATTGACACAAATAGCACTACTATTGATCAAGTACCGACATAGAATTCTTTTCGAAATATTTTCTAAAGAGTTAATTTCAGAAATAGTCACTGAAGTTTAAGTGAAATTTCAAATTGGTCATTAAGTATTTTTGTGACCTATTTAGTAACTAAAGTAAATAATGGTACATAATTGGCCACTTCTTTAACAAAATCCACTCATGATGTTGATATGTTAAACCTAAACATCGACTAATGACCGTTTCGACTAATGACCGTTGTGTCCATATAGTGAACTTACTGACCATTAAAATAAAATACAATTTTTAGGGGAATTGACCGCAAATTTAGCCAAAATTTAGTAAAATCCACTCTAGATACAATGTTGAATTGTTAAACCTTGACATCAACCAACAACCATCATTTTGTCCATATCTTGATATCACATACCAATAGAATAAAATAGTATAGCCGAAAATTCAAAATTGCTTCCTTTAACCCTAATCTTACTTTGATCATTAATAAATGGTAAAGAGGTTGCGATATGAGGCCAACTTGAACGACGGTAAGTCCACATGTAGGTTAAACAATTGCTAGATCAAATATGACATTTGGCTAATAGAGGGATCAAACATGTAAAACATTATTTAACAGTAAAGACTAATTGAATCACAAAAATACTTTAATAACGATATTAAAATCTTGTTTGAACTCAATGACTGTTGGTGAACTGAACTCATTTTCACACTAACTTTTAGGTTTGTATCAAATTCCTTTCACTTTTTTCCTTTTCGTTTTAGTCCTAGTGTATTTAGTTAGAGTCTAAGTGAGCGTTGATAAAGGGCACAAAAAATAATTTTACATATAATATTTAGAAGAAAATAAACTCAATTCTAAGGGTTTTGAAATTTGGACCCTCTATGTCAAAAATATGTCTTACTCCGACCCTTCCTTCCAAGACTTTATAGTTTGTATCCATTACATTATTGCACATTTATAAGTAGTTATTTTGTTAAAACGGAAATATTTATAAGTTAAATATATCTAAACATGCGCAATCAAATAAGAACAAGTACCTTATTACCTGGAAAATTGCAGCAAAAATCCCCAACCCTATGGATAATGTACGTTTGGATTCCGTCTATTTTTGGCATATGCATCCCAAACTTTCCAAGTATGAGTTAACTCGGTTCTTTATCGACCGTTTACATCTACTCAATCAATAAACTTATTGAAAAGAATATTTTTTCAATTAAAATAGAAGAACAAATAGAATTTAAAAATAAAAATAAAAGAGTATTCCCCTTTCAAAAATTCAATTGTTGCTCATTTCATCTATCCAAACTTGTCCATTCAAAATGAAGAGAAGACATGTAATGAAAATGGGGGGTGGGGGGGAAAAACACAAGTATTATGAGAAACCAGGCTGAGGTTGGAGTGGAGAGGAAAGAAACATGTGGCGAAGGTCTAAACAAAAAAGTAGAGGAGAATTTGCTAGGGGCAAAAACAGGTGGAGTGATGACAGGTCTGGGCATCTCCAATTCCCTCCGCCCCTGCCTCTGTCAGAGGCAGGGGCGGAGGGAATTGGGGATGCCCAGACCTGACCCCAGGCCCAGTTGTTATTATGAGGGGGGGAAATGAATTTTTTAGTAGATTTTTTTCACTGTATCAGTTCAGTATTAATAAAAAAAAAATCCAAAATTAAAGCACCTTTTGGACCGTTTATACAAGGAAATATGTAAATCAATACCAATATACTAGTCATAAAAAAATAAAAATAATAATAATAAAAAGAAGGCTGTTCACAACTTCAAAAAAAAAAAACATTACGATATGTTATCAATAGAGTGTTGTTCAATGTAAATTTTGTCTTAACGCTAGTGTCCAATATTTTTGTTCATCGCATGTCAATTTGATACGTGCATTGGAGATCTTGCAAATGACTTGGTTTTCCTCACAAATATAATTTTAAAAAAAAACCCCACCTATTTTTTGAGTATGCTATTCAACCTTTCTTTTTTAATTCATAATACTGTTTTTCTTGTAATTTTTTTTTACAATAAATTATGTCTTATATTACATTACACACACCTCATTACATGTTTTTGTCACCGCAATAACTTGTTACAAAATGTATTACACACAATCCACCACTTATTTCTATCACCACCGTCATCGTCATTACCACCACTTGTTGTAATAAACACACAGTTCATCGTCACCACCAATTATAGCATTTAATAAACACCATCAACGTTGACACTACCACTTGTAACATATTGTGTTAACACTACCACCACTTATATCATACTGTTTTACACCCCCAAGCACCAACACCTAAACTTGCCACAATCTGCGCCATCAGACTGCCCCCATCTCCACCATAATTAAACCACCACCTCCGACCCCTAAATCACCATACTACAAAGTAAATTTGCACCATCACAACCACCACTGACACCCACTACAAAAATAAACTATCACAAAACCATCACCATCATAACCATTTACACCTCTCAAATTAAAAAAATAAACCATTCAAGAGAATTCAAGAGGTTTCAAATCTGGTTTCAGATTCGAAATTGCATTTGCCATTGATTATGGTGCTAACCCTAAACCCCCAAACTTAGGAAAAATAGTAGAAACCCATTCATCATCACTGAGGGAAGCACACAAGACTCTTGAAGTTAATAAAGGATTTGTGTTCAAAATAGGAGTCCAGTTGGCCTTTGTAAAGAAATAAACCAACGGAAGCTGAAAATCAAGATTCAAATAGAACACCAATCCTATCAAGAAGAATACAGATCTTTCACTTTATATGGGCTCAGAAATTCAAACAGAATATTGTACCCATCTATACAAAAGAACTCGCTACAAAGACCACAAGCCCTAACCCAAACCGCACAAAGCAGCCACTACAATGGTTCCAAGAATCTACTACCAATCTAACCACAAAACTACTCAATCTGAAAATCACCAAGATCAGGAACACAAAGATGAACTATAACACAAAGAATCGAAAGAGAAGACAGAGAAAACACGAAGAACAGAGAACACCCAGAAGCTTTCGCACTAAGACAAAAATTTCACTCAACAGAAAGAAAATCACACGAGAAAATGGCCATCCAATATCTAACATATAGGCAACCATCCAATCGTAGATAAGGCTGCAGATCCAACGGACCAGAGCAACACACTTGGCATTTAAGTTTGGGCTGGGTCTTGGGCTTTTCCTTTTGAGTTATTGGGCAATAGTTTTAGTTCCAAAACTTTCCAACAATTTGGGCTTTAACCCATTTCATCATCGCCCCAATATTGAAATCCAAATGTTACAAATGGCATCAAATTCCAACAAATCTCCCCCTTGATGCCATGCCATAAACCACCAAATACATTAGTGTTTCATAGCATCAACACCAAGAAGGTTACCACCTGCAAGAAAAACAAGATTCACCCAGAATCAATTCTTAGAATTTGTAAACAAGATTTAAACTTGGAAAGATGAAGTACCTTTGTTCCCATATCCGCGGGATTAAATTGTGTAGGGATTTTCTCAAGCAAAATAGATTCTTTATGAAGTATATCTCTAATGAAATGCATCCTAATATCTATATGTTTAGTCCTATCATGAAAAATAGGATTTTTACATAAATGAATAGCACTCTGACTATCACAATAAACCACAACAGGATCATGCAATTCATTTAGTTCACATAACAAGCCTTTAAGCCACAAAGACTCTTTTATAGCTTCAGTAGCATCTACATACTCAGCTTCAGTAGTAGATAAGACAACAATAGACTGCAATTGAGACTTCCAACTAATGCAAGCACTACACAAAGTAAACACATATGCAGTTGTTGATTTTTTATTGTCCTTATTATTAGCATAATCAGAATCCACATACCCTTTCAACACAACTCTCTCTTTACAAAATTTAAAATGTAATCCTAAATCAGCAGAACCTTTTAAGTATCTTAAAAGCCATTTTAAAGCGGTCCAATGTTCTGGACCCGGGTTTGCCATAAATCTACTCAAAATGCTAATAGCATGTGCAACATCTGGTCTAGTACATACCATAGTATACATAACTGATCCAACCGCATTAGCATAAGGTACCTTTTGCATGTATTTAATATCAGACTCATCATGTGGACATTGTTCTTTACTCAATTTAAAATGACAAGCAAGAGGCAAAGTAACAGGCTTAGAATCATGCATAGCAAATTTAGATAACACCTTTTTCACATAGTCAGATTGAGTTAAAAGAAGAGATTGTTGTAATCTATTCCTTTTAATATCCATCCCTAAAATTCTCCTAGCATGCCCTAAATCTTTCATTTCAAATTCATTACTCAAAGCCTTTTTGATATCATTTATATCACTCATTTTATGTCCAACCAATAGCATATCATCAACATACAAAAGCAAGTAAACAATCACATCATTCTTATCATTGCTTTTAAAATAAAGACAATGATCAAAGGCACTTCGCACAAAGCCAATAGAAGACACATAATTGTCAAATCTAATATACCATTGCCTAGGTGATTGTTTCAAACCATACAAAGATCTATTAAGCAAACAAACATGATTTGGCATTTTCGAATCAATAAAACCTTGAGGTTGCACCATATAAATCATTTCATCCAAATCACCATGCAAGAAAGCAGTTTTAACATCCATTTGTTCAAGCTCTAAATCATATTGAGTAACTAAAGCAAGCATGACTCTTATAGTAGTATATTTCACAACAGGAGAGAAAATTTCATTATAATCAATACCAGGCTTTTGTGTAAATCCCTTTGCAACAAGTCTAGCCTTAAACCTA